CGACAGCAGACTGAACATCACCAGTGCGCAGTACCCGACAGCAGACTGAACATCACCAGTGCGCAGTACCCGACAGCAGACTGAACATCACCAGTGCGCAGTACCCGACAGCAGACTGAACAGCACAAGTGCGCAGTACAGACAGCAGACTGAACAGCACAAGTGTGATTCCCAACAGCGTTTTAGCTCAAGTGGCTTTTAATTACTGATTTTTCTGCCAAATGAGGAAATTACCAGCAGCTTTAACCAACCTGAAGACAACTGGGCTTCCATCCAGGAAGCCGTGCCAGGTACACACACACACACACACACACACACACACAGACACACACACACACACACACAGACACACACACACACACACACAGACACACACACACAGACAGACACACACACACATGCACACGTTCACACACAGACATACACACACACAGATATGCACACAGACACACACACAGTGTTTGCTGTTGTTCTTAGATAGCTGCACAGATAGCTTGTGTTGTGTAACAACCTGTGAGCTTTAACTTTAACTGGTAGCAACGAGACAAATAAACATCCAGTTCTGTTTTCATTTTCATCTCACCTGGCTGGAGACCCCAAGGTCAGATCTACCGTCTGCCATCACTGTGCGTGCAGATGCTGTAACAGGAATAAAACCAGAGAAAACTCAGGCCCCAAAGTCATGTGCAGATCTCATCATCCATCAATCTCTCCACCCATCTGCCATCAGCTTATCCCGCTCACCGGTTTCCTCATATCAGCCATCCTCAGATCTGAGTTCTGTAGCAATATCTGCAGCATCAAAAACCAAACTTCTTCAGAGAATTTGACAAGGTCTTTGTGATTTAGACGAACATCTACATCACATTATTTCCTTGATGTTCTAATATTAATATTCCATCCTGATATTTAATTTTCCCAGCAGGGAGGGGAGCAGCTTCTATCTTGCCTAGAATCTATTCCACCGTACCTCCTCATTCTGTAACGGTGAATCTCCCCAGGTCCGAGAAGCACGTCCCTGTCCAGGTATCTGAGTGGCAGCTCCCTGTGCCCATTAACTCCACCTCTCAGCAGTACATCACTAATGATGCTTCTCTTCACACAGCGAGGTCCCCTGTTGAGAGGCCTGTAGGTGTTTGCTGCCTGACCTCTCCAGCGTGGCCCCCGGAACAATTTACTCCTGGGGGAGCCCATCAGAGCCCTGGCTGGGGGGCCAACCTGTCCACAGAGTGTATCCAGCTGAGGCACGTATGCCAGAGGCGATATCAGGCCAAGGAGGGAAGAGTATTCTTCATGTTCAGAGAACGTGAACCAAGAGTTATATACTGTGTACAGCAGAGGTGGAGATTTCAGGTCCAGTGAGTACAAATCCAGACCGGGATTTTGTTTCACCCAACCAGTTGAGTACTCTGTGACTGTGACTCTTTATACTCAACTGGTTGGTTGAAACAAAATCCCGGTCTGGATTTGTACTCTCTGCACCTGAAATCTCCACCTCTGCTGTACAGTATATATAATCCTACATAGTCCTACAGGCTCCAACATATTTAACAGCATATTTTAAAACGTTTTAGAATACCTTATGTTTGACCTTACCAGACAGGTTCATGTATTGGATTTATAGGAATGTATTTCAATTACATGCTGCCACTATCCTTCCCCTGGACCACCGTTCCAGATAGCAAGCATTCATCACTGAAAACCTTAGTGGAGCGGCGGCCCCCAGTGCCACCACAGGAGGGCAGCATAGAGTCCCAGTTGGAAACCCTTACAGGAGTCCAGCCTTCTTCACTGATGCTGGATGTTTAAACCCCTCCCTTATTAAAGAAAGGATGTTGGGGTCAATAAAGCCAACACAGCATCGACCCTTCTACATTGCAACTTTCCCCATCAGTTTCGATATAGCCGGGGTCAGCATAAGAAAATAAATGGGAATTTTTGGGGAGTTTTTGAGAGTTTTTCAAAAGCCGCAGATGGCACACAAAAAACGTAGCACCTCGTAAATGCATAAAATATATGTACAGTGCTGGTTGGAATATGTCACTCACGCGAGATCTTGCAGTGACCTTGCAGTGACCTCGCAGTGATCTTTGTACCTTGTGTATCTCGTACCTTTTGGCTTTGCTCCTCTCCACTTGTATGTTCACTTCAGTCACGGTTTATAACACAAAACACTAATATTACACTTCTTAAAATATTTTAATTTTATTGATAAAATTTAATTTTAATGATAAACTAGTTGTTATATGACAGAAGTGCCAATATTGGAGGCTCCAGGCAAATAGTGTTAAGCGTCCATCCATCCATCCCTCCCTGCATCCATCCATCCACCCCTCCCTCCATCCATCCATCCATCATACTTATCCACAGCAGGATTGCAGTGTGTTATGCAACATTTACCTAAAAGACACCACCAGACAGAAATTAACTATACAGAAAACCAAATCAAAGTTTATTTATCAAAAGTACCAAAAATACGACGTACAGCAGTAGACGGACTCCATGAAATAAGTGTCCTGGCACTAAAGAAAAACACACATGCACGCATTTTCTAACACATAAGCACCTGTGGCTCTGAGGTTACAGCACCTGTATACTGCGTTACATGGAGATCAGTGGTTAGTTAACTAATTACACCTGAGTACACAGTGTAAGCTGCTAGGGCTAAATTCATGGCAAAACCTGGGTTACATATAAAAGTTCATAATTATTAAAAAATAAAAATGTGAAATCATACATTTTTAAAACACAAGCAGCAATAATGAGATTATACAAACAAAAATAGATACTAAAATTTTGCTTATCCAGGATAGAGTCAGTGCCAAAGCCAGAACAAATCGGGTGGGTCCAGGATTTTCATGGAGGGGCTTATTTTTTTAAGGCCTTTATTAAAAAATAAAATTGAGTAAAAGACAGTGGGCTTGGGGGGTGGGTTTTGGGTGCCACATTGGCTCATATGGGGGAGGGGGGTGGCCCACGAATGACCACCCATGGCACCGAGCCTGAATAGTGCTGATCAGTAACATGTAAAATCTGTGGTACTTTCCAGTAATGCTCCTGAATATTACAGAGGTAAAACAGACCCACCTGGTGGCCTATGATGGTTACTGCAAAAAAATAAATTAAACCTTAGTTTCATAATTTAGTCCGTTGGGATGGACAATACTACTCGTTGTCTTTCCGGTTGGTGTCCCGATACCACTACCGATACTGATATTCAGCGCTAGCATAAGCTTGTCAATCTGTTTCATATACTGCAATCAAAAGGGAAATATGGCATTAAAAGAAAAATAGTATAAAATGAGAATGAAAAAAATAAAACAATAAAATTAACAATAAAAAACAATGACATCTGTAACTGTATTTACACAAGGCAGTGATTAGGAAGATTCAAAATGAGGAGTTATTCTATAATTGACTGAAAGGCCCCAATCTCTCGAATGCCCATTTCCATTCTCAGATGCTATTACTCAGTCAGTATCGGCTCTCAGTGAAATGTAACTGTGATGTCAGTCCTTATGAAGACTGAGGACAGGATGGTGGGAAACTCTGAAAGAGTCAGAGCACTTCAGGTCTTTCGGAGGTGTTTGAGAAACATGGTGAAACTGGAGCCCTCCAGTGGCCTCACTGAGAATAGGACATCCCTTCAAAATTAATGTAAGACAAAAACTTATCTCCCCTATTCTTTACATGTCTGGGCTGTGGGGTATGGTGAAAGATGGATTTCTCACCAAAAAAGAACATCCAAGCACATATTTGCTGAAACACACATCCAATCACCTAGAACGATGTGGCAAAATTTGTTATGGTCTCATGAGACCAAGGTGGAACTTTCTGACCATAATTTAAAAAAGTGTTTGACGCAAAGGCAAAACAGCTCATCATGCCTAAGTAGGGTAACATTAATACGCGTTACCTAGGGGGTTGCGAATCATCAAGCTTCCTAAGAACAAGTACTGCCATTCAGCATCGTATCTTAATTCAGTCTCCAAATTTGACTTTTATCCTACTCTCTGTATAAGTGACCTTGTTGAGCACCTTGGAAAGACACAATACCTGACCACCATAGCCCTCGCAAAGAGCTACTGGCAGATTGCTTTGACTTGTCGGTCTCAAAAGTGGACGACATTGGGTGCCATGGGGCCTTTCCGATTTTACCGTTCTTCCTTTTGACTTGCATGGTGCCACTGCCACCTTTCAGGAATTGCTGGACCAGGTCTCACATGGGTTAATTTTTGACTGTCTACCTAGATGATATTGACATTTAGACTGATATGTGGGGCAACACCTGCAGCATCTCCAGGGGGCAAACCTCATACTTAATCTGTGCAAGTGTGATTTGGCCTGGACCGAGACAGAACACCTGGGCTTTATCCCAGGCAATGGGGTGTTAAGGCCCCATGTGAGGGAGGGCCAGGCTGCTGAGGAGGTGCCCTTTGCCACAGACACAAAGGAGCTTAGATCCTTTTTTGCCATAGCTGACTGTTACAGCCCATTTATCCCAAGCTTCTCTGCCACACTCACAGTTTTAACAAACATGATGAGTTCAAGACGTCCAAGCCAGCTCCAGTGGCTTCATCAGCTACACGCTCTTCCCCCGGGAGCAGAGGCGACTCCAGGCTTCTCTCTCCGGGGGTGAGAGAGCCCAACCAGGCAGACAACACCTAACTGAGCAAAGAGAACGTCAAGGGAGGCGACCTCCAACTCTGTAACGGCGAGACACCAAGGGGGGAGGGGGGCAAAAAGTAAGAGGGGAAAAGGGAGAACCTGCACCCTCTGTGAGCTCATCCCCCCCCATAACACCGTATGTGACGTTCCTAGCGGTAAGACACGGGAACACGGGTTAAAGTATCAAAAACAGTGGTTTTTATTTCAGTGAAAACTACAAAAAAGCAGAAACTAAACGCAAATCAATACAATTAAAGTCATTAAACACTCCTAACCGACCCCCCACCCCCCACTAACACATAAAGCACATGTAATACAGCTGCTGGGCCCCTCACACCTCCACAAGGGGTGCTCACTTACAAAACATTTAATGCAAATACTTCCAAACAATAAAATCTATTGACTACCATGAAGTAAATAAAGTAAAGCAAACCTATAATTATAAAAAGCAACACATCTATAAAGTTAAATTATCAAACAAACATTCCCACATCTTCGATGTTTCATCTTTTTGATCACCTGTGTTTTATCAGCTGGTTGCTCTCGGTGCTGCCGTACTTGGTACCTGGTGCCAGAGTGTGATGGGAGCGCTTCGCTATTCTTTTCTATATGTAATTTTTCATCTGTGTATTAGTTTTATGTTGATTGTTAATGCTTTTTATCATTTGTTAGGTAGGTAAATGGGTTTAAATAAGCAAATCATTTGGGGGTCTGTAACAGATTAAATTCATTTACATTATTTCTTATGGGGAAATTCGACTTGGACCTCGACCAAATCGCAACTCAACCAGCCTTCTGGAACAAGTTAAGTTTATAGAACTCAAGTTCTATGAACTGAGTCAAGTTCTGGAACTTTATTTTTTGCTGTATTAAGTTCCTTAGATGTTAATGGTGTATCCAGTTCATCTGCTTCATAACTGTATATTACTTAAGAAGGAATCGATTTGTATTGGACCTGGCTCCTTGTCAGTGGTAATATAATCTACTGTAAAACTCCTGGAATACATCATTTATATCTTAGGGTGATCGAATGGCCTCCCCTGCTGTGTTCCTTATGACTGGTATAATTGATTTTTTTTGTTTGTCTTGAGTTGACTTGCCAGATATTTTCCTGATTTGTTATTTTGTTGAAATATTGTAATCTTTGTATCAGAAATTGGGTTTTATTGTGTGTGATATTGTTCAGCTGTAATTTATTTCCTATCAGTTCCTTCTGGATCTAACCCTAACCCCAACCCTGGTATGATATAATTTTTCCTACTAACGGTACTTTGGCCATTTCCAAAAGTGATGTGGATGATATTCCAGGAGATTCGTTTATTTCCATGAAGAATGTGCTCTCTTTTTTAATGAATGTGTTGAAATTAGGGTCTATAAGCAAAGAAGAGTTAAATCTCCATCTAAGGATGGGTTGTTGTCACCAAGACCAAAATCACTTATGCATTGTTTTAATACTTCAGTGGAATGCCAGTTTCTAAAATTAACGGTGGAGGAAGATCTGCGGAATGGTAGAATTAATAACTGTATTGAAGTCACCTCCAGTCATTGTTGCAGAATTTGATAAGTTTGATAGTCAATCAAAAATGTATGAAAGAATGCATTGTGGCCAGTATTGGGTCCATATACAGGTATGTCTGCAATAGTGTTATTATGATTAATGGTACTGCTGATAACAACATTGCCCCTCCAGGTCTGCCCGTCGGTGTTTGGCTTATCCACAGTTAATGCTGCTCGTCTTCCCTTCCCCCGGAATCATTCAGGATCGGAAGTAGTTCTTTCTTCTCTCTGGTATTTATTTAGTGAGCTGGTCACTGAGGCCGCAGTCAGTTCCTCTCAGTTCCCTTCCTTTACTTTTAAGGAATTCTTTTGTTTGTAATGCTCAGATTTTGCTACAATTGCTCTCAGTCTTCCATTATTAGTGTTTTTTGTTCTGATGCGATGAACTCGGTGAACTGTTATTTTATTTATAGTGTCCGGTGGTAGTTTTAGGCCTGACTGCATGAATTGTTTGACTGCATTTTCTGGGTTGTCGGGCCTTTGTTCAGGTATGCCGGAGAAATTCAAATCTCATATACGTCGACATTGTAAGTCCAGGATTCTCTCTTTCATTATTTTATTTTTGTTAATGAGATTGGTGACTTGCACAGATAAAGTTTTGACTTCATTTTAGTCCGTTGTTTTCTTTCAGAAGCCTTTCGCTTTAGGATTTGGGGGAATTCAAGACTGGATTTCAGGTCTTTGAAGTCTGTGTGCAGTAATTCCACACCTGAGATTGTTGCTCCTCCTCTGTTTCAGTAGACCAGTCTCACCTTGGATGTTTTTTGCTGGGTTTGTCTGCCATTACGCGCAGATTGTAAAAGGAGTCGTCAACAAAAGTAAAATTTTCCAGAGTTGAAGAAGTATATAATCTGATACTGACAGTGATGGTGAAAGTATGAAAGATATCCGGGAAGTTTTCCAGGGAAAAGTTACGACGCAGCGTCTGGATCGTCGCCCATAATCACAAGCTCCCGGAAATTCATTTCGTAGTACACCCTTCAGGTGCTGAAGTAGTCAGACTAGCAGGCCTTCATATACCCCTTAACAGGGGACATCCTGGGTTCAAATCCAGACCTGGGCACGCAGACAAACAATGTAATGTTTGTACTCATGATTCCTGCTGTCCCAGTGCCTGCATGCCCACGTCATCCTGCCAATATCCAAACATATATTAGCGTTTTTTAAAAATAGCATGACTGGTTGTTCTGTGAAGGTGTCTCACAGCAGTAGCAAATCAAAGACGATTATGTAGCTCATGTATACCTGCTGTGGCCTTGATCTTCTTAGTTTCCATGTATAGAAACTCAGAAGACTGAGTGCAAAAAGCAAGACGAAAATAGTTGCAATCAGGCCTCCATAGTAGCCTCGGGTATCATCTGTAAAAAGAAGAGCTTATTCCTGCTATTTGAAACATGAACTTGAACATTAGTGTGCAAAAGGCTGCCCTCTGCTGGCTGATAGCATCACTTTATTTATTAGCCTGAGCCTAAATTGTTATACAAATGATTATTTAAATAAAACCTAATATCTGATAAGCAATATGAAATACAGTAATAATAAATACACTGTGTATTATTGTACAGTACTGTACTCTCACTCTCGTACCTAAACAAAACCTAATATCTGATTCCCAAATACCAACTTCCCAAAATCCTAAGTAAGCTCCTAGCTGCAGGATAACAGCTAAGCTGTTCTAACTTTCACTGTGCACCATGCAGTGTTTTAGCTATAGCTAAACTTATTTAACCCTTGTCGCATATTATTTTTCCATTGCCCTGTCATCTCTTGAGAATTACGTTTAAAAAGCCAGTATACCTTTTGTTAAACAATGTACTTTATTGTGAGTAAGGTCTTACTGGGCGTAATTTGTCAATTAAACTTTACCATATGTATGTACAACAAAATCACATATATATATATATGAAAGGTCTGATAATGTATCACTTGCAGATACTGGGAAATTAGTGCAGTAAAACGTGGCTACAATAGGCCTATATATAATTTTTTATCGTCATGAGCATGGTTGTTATCTTAAGTTAGGAGAGTTTAAGATTTTGTGGAGTTAGGAAGCTTGTGTGATACTCTTTTCCTGTGTTAAGTTAGAATAGGACCAATGATTTACTGAACTGTTCATCTGTAAATCAGGCCCTAATCCTAGTTGCTTTGGTCATCAAACAGTTCTGCAAGATCTGCAAGCTAGGAAGTTTCTGTAATACGGCCTCAGGACGGAACAAACAAAACATGGTTATAGATGAAAATTCAATTGAATAGGTGAGATTGATCTATTGTGACTTATTTTGCAATATAACCAATCAGATGTTAAGTTTTGTTTAGAACCCGCCCACTGAGTTTGATGGGTGACTGACAGTTAAATTCAATGGTTGCTGGTATCATGTAAATTATAATTTGAATAATCATTTAAATGACATTTATAAACAATCATTTAAATGATCATTTAAAATTAATGTGTTAATCACATGTTTAACTGGCATGTTAATTTATTGAATATTATCATAACACCCTCCACACTTGCACTGATCCTTACCTGTATATACAAAAAGGGTCCCAGTAACTCGGCCAAACTGGTTTGATGCCTCACATGCATACAGGCCATTCAGTCCAGGGTCCCTCTTTAAAAACACCAGTCTGCCTCCCTCCGGTCTGAGTGAAGGACCGAGTACTTCACTGTCCACTCTAAGTAAAGAGGTGAAAAACAGTGTCAATACTACATTACCCAGAAACACACAGGCCAAACACATAAAGAACTGACTGCTAAACACCAAAGATGTTTTACATTTACTGGGACCACATAATGATAATTTTCCAAGTTATGTAAAATCACGAAGTAACAGCCATAAGCAACCCATTATCTGAAAGCTTCAGTATTAGTTTGTATAACAGACATACCGTTAAGTACCCACAGGATGGAAGGCTAATACACGCTTGCTATAAAATGCCTTCTGAAGTGTGGCAGTATTCTGAGAAATCAAGCAATGTCAGAAGATCTAGCTGTGCAACCATATTGCGGATGTATTAGCCATTCAAGGAGATTCTTCCCTCGCCGCCTTGCAAGAGAATACAGAGGAAGTGCTGTGGCCAGATCCAGCTAAGCAACGAGATCATGCTTGGGATTTATTTAATTCATGATTTTAGGGCTGCAACAACTAATCGATTAGAATCGACTATTAAAGTAGTTGCCAACTAATTTAATAATCGATTAGTTGGGTCTACGTTATTATACATATAAGTACAGTGGCTACCCCTTAATTTGGGAGCAGTAAGCTAACTAAACCAGCGGTGGCAGTATGGCCGACCGCCATAAAAGAAAAAGGAGACGGGAACCAATGCCGTGCCTTGAGTAGCTTACGTGATGAATTCTGGAAGAATTGGGAAAAAACGTTTGAAAAATGGCGGGGGTGGACACAGCAGTCTTGTTTTAATTCTGCCAGAAACGGTAGTATTTGACGGTAATTAGCTGACATTAGGTCGGAGAGACACTGATGTATAATGTGACGTTGTGGAATTTTTGGATTATTTTATGCAATTATTCAGATTAATTAACGCAAATCCTTCGTTCAGTAGTATAGTGGAGGGTAAATGCAGATAAACGCCGTTTACGCACCTTTTAAATTTACAAAACAGCGTTTACTCAACTTCAGCTTCAATTCTTCATTATAGAAATTTATAGTAATATCAAATGTTGTAGTACTCAGGACCAGTTTTTGAAGGTCTCGATCTTGTCTTTGAATCAGCCGTATTTGTACTCGTTCTTGTCATGGACTCGGGATTTTATTTCGAGACCAGCCAAGACCACAACTCTGAGAATATTCCTATTAATGAGCCGTTTACTACGGTGCCCCTAAGGGGACAAGGGAGGAGAAAAAAAAAAAGTCATGTTTTGCGTTATAACCCAAAACTTTTACATTATAATCCAAAACCTTTGCATTATAACCCAAAACTTTTGCGATAAAACCCAAACCTTTTGCGATAAAACCCAAACCTTTGCGTTATACCTCAAAACTTTTGCGACATAAGGCAAAACTGTTGTGACTTTGAACTGGAAATATGAGTAATCAGTTGTGGAAGTAAAATTGGACATTAGTAGGCCCGGGAGGGGAGGCATATTGGGTCTGTTATGTCTTAGGCCAGAAGAGATTGTTTTGAATACTATGTGACCTCGCTTTGTGATAGCTGCCTGCAGTTGGCTCCGCAGAAGCTCAGACCTTGGAGAGGCAGATAGTGGAGCAAAGGGGGGGGGGAGAAACCACTTGCAGGAAGAGACTCGAAGCCGCCCCAACTGGTGCACAAAGAGTTATAGCTTATTAAAGTAGTTGTAGTAGTCAATATAATATGTTACGCAATTGATTGCATCATGTTAATCATACTAATCATATGTTAACCATGTATTTTCAGCGATTCAGGGACAATATGTCAATGTGTTAATCATTAATCAATGGAACACCCAAACATTACAGTGATTCAATGTCATATAATTAATATCTATATACATATCTCAAGTAGAGTCTAGAAGCCGAGGCTGTCTCCAGTAAGTTCCGTACAATGGGTGGACCTTACTACCAAGGTGAACCAATGGAGCAGGAGAATTGTGTTTGTTATACGTTTCAGCTTAGTTTGTTGATGCTTATCTACTCAGGACTTAGAAGTTCTGGGAGTTATGGTTTATCTACTGGTTGCTCTGTGTGCCGGGGGTGACTTGGTACCAAGTGCCAGAGTGTGATGGGAGCGCTTTGCTGAACTTGCTGGAATAAAAGAGATTTTCTTTACTCACCAAACTAAGAGGTCCAGACTTTTATTCTAAGTGCTTGATTTATCATTTTTCTACCACACAGTCAGTGTAAGGAACATAATTGATAGAAAAACACGGAGTGTTTAATCGAATTTTACTTTGATCTTGGTCTACAATATATGGACATTCAGTTTGTTCTCGGATCTAGGCATGATGTTCACATAAGTCTGAGGCAGATTAAGAGGATTTTATGTGAAAGGGGATTATTCCAACGGAAAAACTACTCTGACTTGGGTGATGTAATTAACTTTATTCGCGAGCAGCTTTTGCACTCTGGGCAGCTTCATGGTTATCGATGGATGTATGCAAAATGCAGAATAAATGGACTTCATTTGAGAAAAGAGTGTCACGCCCCGCTCCGTCCGATCCCGATGTGTGCCACGCCCCCCTCATTACCTCGTGTTCAGCCCTGATTGTTCTCACCTGTTGCCTGTTCCGTTTACCTAGTCCTGTGTATATTAGTCCGCGTCTCCCCATGTCTGCCAGATGCGGCATTGTATTGTTACGTGTCGTCCCTTCCTGTCTGCCCTGGTCGTCATTAAAGACCCAGTTTACCCGAAGTCCTGGCTTGCTCTCGTCTGCTTCCCGGCTCGCCCGTCTCCGAACGTGACAGAATGCCGGATCTCCGACACAGCACAACGCGGGAGACCGAGCACCACCGGCTCGGTCTCCTGCAAGACTTCGTGTTTTGGCGCTCCCAACCAAAAGTACTAGAGGATCCTGTAGCCCTGGAGCTGGCCACCCGGGGCGCGGACCTCCTCACGGAGGAGCGCCCGCCCGGACAGCAGTACCCGCTCGAGCGGGCACGCAAACTCCTGCGCTGTCTCAGCGAGCGTCTCACACGGCGGAGAGGCGAACGCGTCGCCCGGAGCCCGGGCGAAGCGATCGCGGTGGCTCCGCTTTCCAAGGTGAGTGGCAAGAAGAAACAGAGTGCAGCAGGAGGAGGCTCCGTCTCTCTTCCTGGGGGGTTGCACTCTGCTCCCCGCCTGGGAGTTAGCCAGGGAGCACGAGGGCTCACCGCTCCCCTGGGATGATTTCGCCGCTACCCGCCTGCTCGGCGTCCACGGTGAGATGCCGCCTCCGCGGGAGGCATATCCGTACCGGCCGGAACGCCTGCACGGAAAAGGGATCAGCCCGGTGAGAGACGCGATTCCTCGGGTCCCGAGAGCCCTTAAAGGGACAGCGCCAACGCGCTCGACACCCCTCCTGCCTGCTCCGGACCTGGCTGCCGCCGCTCTGCCCGCGGCAACGCCTGCTGCTGCTGCCGCCGCTCTGCCCGCGGCAACGCCTGCTGCTGCTGCCGCCGCTCTGCCCGCGGCACCGCCGGCTGCTGCTGCCGCCGCTCTGCCCGCGGGACCGCCTGCTGCTGATGCCGCCGCTATGCCAGCAGCACCGCCTGACCCGCCTCTCCAGCCTGACCCGCCTCTCCAGCCTGACCCGCCTCTCCAGCCTGACCCACCTGTCCAGCCTGACCCACCTGACCCGCCTGTCCTGCCTGCTCTGCCTGCAGTCCCTACAGCTGCCCCCACTCTGGCTGCGGCGCCCCCTGCTGGCCGCGTGATGGCGGCGCCCGCCGCGGCGCCCCCTGCTGGCCGCGTGATGGCGGCGCCCGCGACGGCACTCCCTGCTGGCCGCAGGACGGAGGTGCACGCCGAGGCACCCCCTGCTGGCCACACGACGAAGGGGCATGCCGAGGTGGCCCTTGCTAGCCATGTGACAGCGGTGCCCATCCTGCCGGCACCTGAACTGCCTGTCTTGCCTGTCCTGCCGGCTCCTGAACTGCCTGTCTTGCCGGTCCTGCCGGCGCCTGAACTGCCTGAGGTGGCTGCGGTTGCGCCCCCTGCTGGCCGTGTGATGGCGGCGCCCGCTGTGGCGCTCCCTGCTGGTCGCACGCCTGCAGCTGCCTCCACTCTGCCTGAGGAGTCCGCCGAGGCGCCTCCTGCTGGCCACACGCCCGCGGCCCCGTCAGAGGCCGCCTCTCCCGTCCTGCCCACGGCCCTGCCTGAGGCCGCCTCTCCCGTCCTGCCCGCGGCCCTGCCTGAGGCCGACCTCTCCCGTTCTGCCTCTGGCTGCCCCGCCTGCGGCCACGCCCGCGGCTCTGGCTGCCACGCCCGCGGCTCCGGCTGCCCCGCTTGTTGCCTCCCTCCTGACTCCCTCGCCCTTACCCCGGCAAGGCCAACGCCCCCCAGGACCCCGCCTCTCAGTGTCCAGCAAAGGACGGGGACATAGGCATCGGGCCCTGCCCCCTGGCTCGCCCGCCCTGCCCCCTGGCTCGCCCGCCCTGCCCCCTGGCTCGCCCGTTCGGCCCCTGGCTGTGGCTCGCTGGCTGCCTGCGGGTCCTCCGGCTCGGGGTCGGCGGTCCCCTCCGGGTCCCCCCCTGGGTCCTCGGTGCCGGTCCTCGGTCCCGCCTCCGGGTCCATGTCGGCCGCCTCCGGGCCCCCCTGCTCCGGCTGGACGTCGGACGGCGCCTTCCCCGGCTTCGGCTGCGCCTCCGCCTGCCGCGGCTTCCCCCTCCTGCCTGCCTTCACTGGTGTTCCCTCCTGCTCCCTCCGTGTCCCCTCCGTCACTCCCTTGTCCCGTTCCCTTGGCCCCTGGGTGGTCCCCTCCTGCTCCCTCCTCCCTCTCTCCTGCGGCCCCTCCGGCCGCTGCCCGTCGCCCGCCTGGGTTCCTTCGGGTTCCCCTTGTTCCTCCTCCCTTTTCGTTTGTCCCTCCTGTCTCTGCTCCTCTGCCCTCTGTGTCTCCTCTGTTCACTCCTGGCCCCTGCATGTCGCCTGTGGGTGTTCCCTCTGTGTCCCCCTTCTCTGTTTGCCTGTCTGCGTTTCCTATTCTTTGTTGTGTCTTGTCATTCTTCTGGTCCCTGTTCCTGTTTTGTTCCTCTGTCCTGTTTCCGGTCCCCGCCTTTGGTTGATGTTTTGCTTTTTGTCTTTCAGGTCCTGTTCCCTCGTCCCGTCCGTCGCCTCCTCTCGGGCGCGCCCGGTGTGCGCGCCTTTGGGGGGGGGGGTTATGTCACGTCCTGTCCTTCCTGTCTGCCCTGGTCGTCATTAAATACCCAGTTTACCCGAAGTCCTGGCTTGCTCTCGTCTGCTTCCCGGCTCGCCCGTCTCCGAACGTGACAAAGAGGATGTGCGTTTGATTTATATTAATTATATTAATTTATTATAAACATGAAACAACAACAAAAAATGAACAAATGCAGAGAAGGCTTTTTCTCTGCAATAAATGTTTACTTTGTCCGTAATAAATGCAAACTCGCTCGCATGCTCTCTCCCCCTGTCACATATGTGTTATGTGTATCAACATTAAATAAAATTAGAGAATTATTTAATAATATTTTATAAAAAAGACTGTTTTTAATGACATTGATTCAGCTGCTACAAAACTTTTTTGTACTCTTAATGTAGCATACATTTATTTTTTAATGTGAGTTGCTGGAAACAACCTTTGTATGATGACAAAGTCTGGGTTATTAAGACATGCTGGAAATCAAATTGGTCCCCTCCTCCGATTAATTGGAAAAATAATCGACAGATTAATTGATCACCAAAATAATCGTTAGTTGTAGCCCGAAATGATTTCTTTGTCTCCACAAATGTCTTTGCTGTGTTCTGTTCTAATTTTCAGTGCAAAATGCAACCTTTGGAAATACATGGGTACTGACTGATTTTCAGTGTGGAGAGAAATAAATATTTTCCTCAGTGCTGCTCTTGTGTTTTTTGTTTGGTTAATATATTTATGTATTTTACTCTCACCTTATCTCTGGAAAACAATCAAACCCAGAGAAGAACAGAACAGTAGAACTATTTAATTGAAAAATCAATTTTAAATTGATTTTCACCCCAGCCCTACAAGACTTCTTGGAGTTAAAATTTCCCTACAATTTAAATGTGATCTCAACAGTCATTTCTCGTAAGTGGCTAAATACACTGTAGTTAAATACATAAAAACACATCAATGCAGACTTAATGAACAGTTAAACAAAACCACAAAATAAACAAAATACATCTATACCAAATGCCTGCTACATATTAATGCAACAATTAATGTTGTACAGACCTGTTACACAAACATCCCACACAGATCTCACTGATCATTAAGTCCTAGAAGCTGTGAAATGACATATAAGGTAACATTCTACCTGCTCCAGGTGTATCTTGTAGGTGCAGGATTGGCATCTACATCACACTGGAAGACTGGACCTTCAGACGATGTTCCATTCAGTGTGATATTCCCAGGCTGCGGGGCATCTTGAAGGAACATTGGTCCACTTGGTCAAATGGATTTTAACACCATGGAGCAAAGAATCACCCTCTGCGTTAATTTATTTTAAATGATTACTGTCTATGTCTGAAGTACATTCCACTGTAAACAGTGACTGACTTGCAGTGGGTTAGGCCTCCCAGCAGTACTCACAGTGCACTGAGATCCTGTACGGCACAATCTCCTCATGCTCCAGGGCTGTATGGTTCACCACACACTGCACCTCTCGGCCATTCATGGACCTGGTGGGGGTCACCAGCAGGTAGCTCCTGACGGTTGTGGTGCCGTTGGGGTTCTGTGTCGCGTTATTCTGGATCTCAGTCGGGCCATCCAGCTGGTCTGTGCGCCATGACACCCCTGCTGCTGGGTGTCCATTGGCAGCAATGCAGGTCGCTAAGACGCCACTCTCTCCTCCGACCACCAGGGGCGCCGCAGGTGTTACTGTCACTACAGGACGAACTGTCACACAGACTGAGTCAACGAAACATCCCACACAGTGTGTTCGGCAAAGAGCTGAATCTGAGGCATTCTTACATAAGAGTACCAAGAAAACTGGAAAAGGCAAGACCTTTGCCTGTGTTTCTGCTTACCTGTGCAGGATAAATACTGAACTAATACATGAAAAACAGCACAAAACAGACACTGATATAGGCCAAAGACAGGCTGATAAACCTTATTTAATAAAATACTGGATTGTTTGTTCAGAGACATGACAAATGCAGCATGTGAATCTTCCCCGAAATTGTTCAATGCTGCCATTTGTTCCAAACTGCACTGTTTGTTACTGAAGCCTGGTTTAGCACAATCGAATCAGCTTATCGTGAGGATTTGCTGAAAAGCATACAAAAGCACCATAGCTCAGCTCTGAATAGGGATCCTAACATGCCAGACAAATTAAACGAGTTTCATGCAAGGTCTGAAACAGCTATTCCACCAGCCACCCCCCTGCTCCCACTCCACTGCCACCCTTCTGCCTCTTGGAGGATGAGGTGAGAGCTGCATTCAAGAAGCTGATCTTCAGGAAAGCAGCAGGTCCAGACAGGATCAGCACTGCCTTGCTGAGCCTCAGTGTAGCTCTGTCAGCGCTCGCGGGGAGGGCGAGCAGGAAAGCAGGTGAGCGAAGCCAGAACTTCGGGTAAACTGGATTTATTAACCAAAGACGGACAAGCACGGACAATATTCTGACACCACAATGACAAGTCTGGGGAAGACTGACTCAGACGAGGACTA